AAATAGCTCATGACACAGTGAGTAGGCCTATGAGAGAAATTCTGGGGCAAGAGGCTGTTGCCAATTTGCAACCTTTTTCTTACTGGAGGAACTGTTCCAGACCTGCTGCCAGGGTTGTTTCCAGAGTGGGATTCCTCCTGTGCTGAGCTGTTCATAATATTCTACATAGATTTTTCTATAGAAGGTACAGTTAGGTCCATAAATATTTGGACGAAGGCATAATATTAGATTTTTCAGGTATTTACCAAAACATATTCAAGCTATAGTAATATAATGGATATGGGCTGAAAGTGCGCCCTCTCAGGTTTAATTTGAGGGTATGTACATCCACATTGGAGGAAGGGTTTAGGAATTACAGCTCTTAGGAGTAATCACCCCCCTTTTTTCAAGGGACCAAAAGTAATTGGACAATTGAATCAAAAGCTGTTTCATGGCCAGGTGTGGGCTACTCCTTTGTTATTTCTTCATCAATTAAGTAAGGTAAAAGGTGTGGAGTTGATTCTAAGTGTGGTATTTGCATTTGAACCTACATCATGCATTCAAAGGAGCTGTCCATGCAAGTGAAACAGGCCATTGTAAGGCTTCAAAAATGAAACAAATCCATCAGAGATAGCAGCAACATTAGGAGTGGCCAAATCAACAATTTGGTACATTCTGAGGAAAGAAGAATGCACTGGTGAGCTCAGCAACTTAAAAAGTCCACGGAAGACATCAGTGGTGGATGATTGCAGGATCCTCTCTATGGTAAAGAGAAACCCATTGGCAACATCCAGACAAGTGAAGGACACTCTTCAGGAGGTGGGTGTATCATTGTCAAAGTCTACAATCAAGTGAAGACTTGACAGGAGCAAATACAGAGGGTTCACCACAAGGTGCAAACCATTCATAAGCCTGAAGAATAGAAAAACCAGATTAGACTTTGCCAAAAAGCATCTAAAAAAGCCAGACCAGTTCTGGAAAAGCATTCTTCGATGGATGAAACTAAGATTAATCTGTACCAGAATGACTGGAAGAAAAAAGTGTGGAGAAGGCTTGGAACAGCTCATGATCCAAAGCAGACAACGTCAACTGTAAAACATGGTGGAGGCAGTGTGATGGCATGGGCATGCATGGCTTCCAGTAGCACTGGGTCATTGGTGTTTATTGATGATGTGACAGAAGACAGAAGCAGCCGGATGAATTCTGCAATGATTAGAGATATACTGTCAGCCCAGATTCAGCCAAATGCAGCAAAGTTTATTGGACGGCGCTTCATAGTACAGATGGACAATGATCCAAAGCACACTGCAAAAGCAACCCAGGAGCTTTTGAAGGAAAAGAAGTGGAATATTCTGCAATGACCGAATCAATCACTTGATCTCAACTGAATTTCACTTGTTGAAGGCAAAACTAAAGACAGAAGGACCCACAAACAAAGAACAACTAAAGACAGCTGTAGTTAGAGCCTGGCAAAGCATCAGAAAGGAGGAAACCCAGTCTTTGGTAATGTCCATGGGTTCCAGACTTCAGGCAGTCATTGCCAGTAAATGATACAAAACCAAATATTAAAAATGAACATTTTATTTATGATTATATTCAATTGTCCATTTACTTTTGGTCCCTTGAAAAAGGGGGGGATGGCTACTCTTAAGAGCTGTAATTACTAGACCATTCCAATTTGGATGTACATACCCTCAAATTAAACCTGAGAGAGTGTGCACTTTCAGACCATATTCATTATATAACTATAGCTTGAATATGTCTTTGGTAAATACCTGCATTAAAACTAAAATTGTGCCTGTGTCCAAATATATATGGACCTAACTGTAACTGTTCTCCAGATAGTGTCATCATTCAAGTTTGTTTAGTTCTGGGTATCCCAATGCCCATCCCAATGACTAGCCCAGCTCTGCAAACAATAAAAGCTACAAAAGACACTATCCGCTTGCTCATTGTGTGAAAAACTGAGAAAATGAGGGACCAGCTTAAAGTCTGCGCTACAATTATTTATGGATAAGTGTACTGCCAGCAAAGGTGGGAACTTATATCCTTTGAACGTTTCAGGCTGTAGTTCAACACACAATGCTGTATGACTAGCATGTTTTTGGGCATTGGGAGATGAAAGGCCAGTTGTTTAAAGGCTAAGTCCACATTTTAAAAAAATGCACATATTTGCACAGGAGAAAAAAATGTGCATTCATTTTTTTTTTTTTTTCCCTGGGAGCCTACCATGCATTGCACACTTGGATCAGTGGATTGCGGATACAATGCCAGGCTCCTGCAGGCACTTCTTCCAGCTCTATGTCTGTACCCAGTTATAATACATACAAAATTAAAGTATTACTAAACCCAGGACCCTGCATTCACTATATATGGTCTCCCACAGTACACACAACATGGAAATGCAATTATTTTAGTAAATATAAACTGCTAACTACCTTTTCTCATCAGCAGTTAGAGCAGTCTTGTGATGTTTATCAGTATCCAGCAGAGCACAGGTTAAAGCTTGTAGGAGGAGTTTTCATTCTTCTCTGATTTTTCTATGAGGCTGCAGACCCTCTGTCTGGATAGCGCTGATTGGCCCTGTGCTGACCACATGCATCCTTCCAGGAAAAAAAAACTCTCTTGCAATACACACCAAACTGAGCATGTGCAGCCTCCCCCCCCAAGGCTCTGTTCTATCATCAGCTGGATTGGGAACAGTAGAAGGAGAGGATCAAAGAAGACAGATCAAACATCCTTTTTACACAAAGAGTAGGCTTAACCCCTTAGGTCTCACAGTGAGTATAACAAGCATGCTTTACTGCATATACAGACTGATTTTACTATTGTGGGTTTAGTAACACTTTAAACAAACAATTTATCCTGAAAGTTATATTAACCCAAGTTTCCACTCACCTAATGGGCGTTTGTCACCGTAACCAAGAACTAAATAGTCAAGAAAAGAACCCTGTGACAGGGTCACCTGGATAGAGAGCAGTTACTGTAAATGATAATCAGTCATGGCTGGGTCTATTCAAAAATAATTGCATTTTACTAATAGCCCAGAAATGTATAAAAAAAACCCAGCAATCACCTTTCTGTTGGAGAGCTGGAAAAAGTGTCAATGGACAACAAATGCGGGGATCACTGCACTTTGAGAACTACAAGTCTGTCCACTGCGGTAACAGATGGCACTTGTAGCTCATTCATTCGCATGGGATCTCTGTTGGGGAACCTCTGCAGATTGTTGATGCTTATACTGTACTGTATAATAATAATCTGTTGTCAAATGTGCAGAGGAGTAAAGCACAAAGCTGCAAAGCTTTGGTAGTGATTACAGGTGTCACTAGGCTTTGCATTTGCAACAATACATAAATCATAAGACTACATGGACTAATTTATAAACATTTTTTTTTTAAAAAAAGAAAATCACACATATAAAGTTCAACTGTGATCATAGTTGTTTGGCTGGAATTCCACTTTTGGATATGAATGATTCACAGGGGTTGTTAAGGGCAAATAGGCTGTTTTCTTTGCAAGATAATTTTCCCCAGAGCTTGATAATGTTGCAAAAATTCACTTTGCAAAGAATACCCAATCACATGGAAGGACAATTTAAAAAGACAGTATTTTTGCTTGCACAGGACTGGATGGTAGAACAGCACCTCATTCACTAAGCTAAGGGAACATTCCCTTGCTAAGTGAACCACCTGTTTGCCATCAGTGAACCAACCCCAGGATATCTTTGATATATTGCAGCCTGAGGTGATTGTAGCCGTATTAGTGCATTTGCGACAGAAACAATTGAGTACTATCCGTGATACTTTTTTATTTGCACTAACATACAATTTTGAGGACAAGCTTTCGGAGTATGTCCCCTTCTTCAAAGTCCAAACATTACTATTACAAATCACAAAGTTTAAGCAGAATGTTAGAAGGGATTGAGAAAAAAAAAGGCTACAGATAAGATACATCAAAATATATTGCAGCAGAACTCTGGTATAAAATAAAGATCTGTAACAAGTTTCGTTGTGTTCTGGCTGTAGGTCTCGGAATGTCAAGTTTTCAGTCTAAATGATACAACAATCCTTTGCAAGACGCCACCAAAGCCGTCTGTGCTTCCTTCACTCTTTTCAGGTATGTCATGTCAATAGGTTTTTGCTGAGTAAACTAAACAGTAGAGTTTTCTTTGGGGTTAACATCAAACAAAAGTTGTTAGTTTCACAGTTTAGCAGTCTTCAAGTACTATTTCTGACCTGTCTTTATAAAAGGTGAGAAGTGTTTATATAAGGAAAACTTTTACATGAAAGTAAACTGTTATTTTAGAAAGAATGCCAAAGGAAAATACGCAGACTATGGGGAGGGTGTGTGATGGGAAAACACGGTGATAGCATGCAGAGATCGGAGAGAAAAAAAAAATTACAACAAAATTAAACACAAAAGAGAAGATATTGATTAAGGGCCCTTTCACATAGGCATACCGATTGGGTCCACCTGTCTGTTTTTCAGGCAGACCCGATCGAACCCCCCAGCCTCTTTTATGGATCGGTGGGTGTCAACAGACATGTGTCTGTTGACACCTGCCGACATCTGTTCCAATCTGCTAAAAACAGATGAAGATGGGGATCCATTCCCCATCCACCTGGCGGATTGGATGGCAGTCGGGAGTAAATGAACAGGCATTCCATTTACATCCAACCACCCACAGAGGAGAGCAGCCTGTGTCTGTGTCTGCTCTGCGGACGCGGACAGGACATGGACCAGACATCCGCTTGCTCTGCGGGGATCTGAGCAGGTGGACTCCAACGCAGCTTGCCTCATGTGTAAGGGGTCTTAGGCTAGGTTCTATGTAGGTTGAAGATGATGCATTTTTTTCAGCAAGTTTTGTGCTGCGTTTTGTATTTTTAAATGCGTGTTTTTATGCATTTCGCATTTTTTTGGCTAATAGGAATGTATGACAGTTCTGTTCATGTACTGCGACTTTGAAGCCACTTTGATGCAACTTTACACTCTCTGGCACTCAAGTAGCATCAAAGTTGCATCAAAGTAGTGTAGGAACAGGGGCGGACTGACCATTTGGAAACTCGGGCACTGCCCGAGGGCCTGGGGTCAGTAGAGGCCCCATGAGATTCCCCTGGTACCTTTTTCATAGGCTTTTTTGAGTTTGGGCAAGGACACAGGGGCCCCATGATCCCCTATTGCCAGGGGGCCCCATGAGTTGTCAGTCCGCCCCTGTGTAGGAACCTTTATGTGTCCAAAGTCGCATGTTAGGGTTAGGGTTGAGGACTAGGGTTAGGGTTAAGGTTAGCAGTAATCATTAGGGTTGGGGTTAGCGGTAATCGTTAGGATTAGTGGTAATTGTTAGGGTTAGACCGCTAACCCTAACACTAACTCTAACCCTTACCCCATCTCTAACCCTAACAATTACTGCTCAACCAATGACCACTAATCCTAACCCTAACAATTACCGCTAATCCTAACACTAACTCTAACCCTTACCCCATCTCTAACCCTAACAATTACTGCTCATCCCACCAATGACCACTAATCCTAACCCTAACAATTACCGCTAATCCTAACACTAACTCTAACCCTTACCCCATCTCTAACCCTAACAATTACTGCTCATCCCACCAATTACCACTAATCCTAACACTAACAATTACAGCTAACACTAACTCTAACCCCATCTCTAACCCTAACTATACCCCCTAACTTTAACCCTAACATTTAACCCTAACTCTAGGCCTTAACCCTAGCCTTAGCCCTATTAAATGCAGAACGCAATCTGCTGCAGGGAAAAAAATCCCTGACCTTTTAAAAAAACACAGCAGCTCAAAACGCCAGATGTGAACTAGATCCATGGGAAACCATATTAAATTTCTGCAAGATGCAGAACGCAATCTGCCAAGGTTAAGCATTGCATTACAACAATCCATGTTTTCCAATGTGGGAAAAACTCAGCTAAAAAGTTTTATGTTGGACAGTCAAATATATCCAAAATAGTTTTGCAAAAATATTAATCCAATTAGACAACTCATGCAGGTATTACACCGTGCCTGACCTCACACTACCAGAATCCAGCATGGTTTGGGATCCATTCTTAGATAATTTATTTTTCTTTCAAAACTGACAAATTTTTAGAACTGTGCGTTTAAGTTTTTATTCATCATACACATAAAATATTTGTTTTTAAACATTTAAAACAAGGTGTTTCTTTTATGAAAAAAAGCTGTCACTGCAACCAAAATCAGGCAGCTTTTTCTCCTTGCCGGGTGTGTTATCTTTGCAAAAAAACAGAAAAAGCAAAATAGATGCAATCCTGTACAACCCAATGACAGATGAGTTTATTCCAAAAGGCGTGCCATCCAGGGGTGTATTTACCACAAGGCAAACAAGGCATTTGCCTAGGGCAGCATTTTTCAGGAGGGGCAGCACTGCTCCCTGGAAGAAGAGAAAGAAGGGACACACAGCGGCATGGGGACCAGGTGGGATCTGAGAGAGACTGCAGGCTGCTTGACGGTGTATGCAGAACCCCACTCTCATTCCCGGGGATGTCCGGAGCTATGAAAGTGAGTGTCTTTCTCTCTCTTGCCAGGGGGGGTCAGCTGGTGTATGGGGGTGATGGTAGTGGAAGGTGGTGTTGTCCGTTTCAGTTCTCTTTGCAGGGAGGGAAGGGGGGTGTTGGTCAGTGTCAGTCTTTCTCTGTGGGGGTGGGGGGGGGGGATTAATTTGGTGTCAGTCTCTCTCCATGGGGGGGATGGTGTTGGTCAGTGTCAGTCTCTCTCCATTGGGGGGTGTCAGTCTCTCTCCTCGGGGGGGGGGGGGTGTTTGTCAGTGTCAGGCTCTCTCTGCAGGGGAGGGTGGGGGAGAGGGAAAGTGGAGTTGGTTGGTGTCAGGCTCTCTCCGTGGGGGTTGGTGTTGGTCATTGTAAGTCTTTCTCCAAGGGGGGGGTGAGGGGGGGTAGTGTTGGTCAATGTCAGTCTCTCTCCTGATTGGTGTCAGGCTCTCTCCATGGGGGGAGAGGGAGGGGGGGGGGTAGGCCAATTTTTGTGTTGCCTAGGGCAGCACAAAACTTAAATACACCACTGGTCCCGTCAAGACTCCCCCACCTGATACGTTTCACACAGCCCACCCAGATTATTAAACTCATCATGGATGAAACACATCAGAAGGGTGGACTTTTATCAGTGTGTGTGTGTGTTTTTTGTACAACTGTGGAATGAACACACCCTACTTTGAATGCCCTGGAGTTCATCTATTTTCCTTTTTTTGGGGTGCTTCCATTGCACTGGTTTTGCATAACATTTTTTTTAATGGGTGTATGAGGACAGAAGTGTCTTCAGTTCAGACTGCCTCTCTCTATTTGAGAATCCATACAGAGCTGTGCACAGCAGGGAGGGAAGTATGTCACTCCTCTGTTGTTCAGCTGTGTGTGTATTTTGACCTTCAGTTGTTCAGCTCTTTGAACAGGCTTTTCCAGCTATATTGTTAATGTTAGCCTGGTAAAAAAAAGTGTAAATGAATTCCAGCTGCTGCCTGGAAACAGTATGGTATATTTGTATGCAATATTTCGCAGCATCTTGATGGCAAAAAAAAAGGTAAAAAAAAGTAACCTTAATACTTTTAATACAATCTTAATACACTGGGAACAAATTACGAATACACTGTGATAATTCTTATATTCAGTAAAAATATTAATTATTTTTATTGGTTTTATGATGTCAGAAGAGAGCTATTTTACCTAGTATTCTTAAATAAATCGAATTTTCACTGTATAAGAATTGTAAGGGGGTTATTTACTAAAACTACATGGTGGTGTCTGTGGTGCAGATCTGCATAGAAACCAATCAGCTTCCAAGTTTTATTGTCAAAGCTTAATTGAATATGCTGACTACCATGCACAGCTGCACCAGATTTGCAACGGTTTTAGTAAATCTCCCCCATAATGTCTACTGGATGATCTCAGCTTAGAAAGCAATAGGAATGGCTCCAGTCCTGCCATACAAGCAGCCCAGTACAGGAATCTCTGGCTAGAAAAGCTCTCATGTGACACTACCCTTATATTACATATAATGAGAATATGAGTTTTGGATAAAGTGACTAATTAGAGCAAGATATTAATAAGATTCACACTTCATGCGAAGAGACATAGGGCAGGCCAGGATTACCAAAAAAATATTTTTTTCTATACAAAAAAATACTTTTTCCGTGTTATGTAAACAATGTTGCTCCAAGGTCCATTATATCACTAATGCAGACCATAGACGAGTCGTTTATTGGCTGAATTTTCGTCCACACAAAAAAACGGCCGATGATAACGCCGTTAGTGGGGCCAGCCCGTCGGCCGTTTTTCGCGGATCTCCTCGTTTATTTTTATCGGTCATGCTGGAAAATCCGTGAAAACGGCCGTTTTCTGTGGACATTGGTGGCAGCATCGGCAACAGGGCTGACCGATTTTTCATTTATCGGCCGAACATTCGTCCGATAAACGGCCCGTCTATGGCCTGCCTAAACCATACACCAATAGAATTTCATTAGAAAATGCAACATTCTTTCAATCTGCCAACAGTTAGTGGGGTCAAAGCAATGTTAGTTTTCAACTGTAATTACAAGAACATTTGTAGTGGCAGAATGGGAATTTTGTTCTTAAACAAATGAAATTTTAACTGAATGCGGTTTTCATTTGAGAAAAATCATAAGAATTGTAATTAAACCTGTTTAATGCATCCAAATAGCAGGTCTGGATGAAATAAATCAGTTGACAATTTTTCAGAATTTCCATATGAAAGTTGAACCAATACAGTGGGGCAAAAAAAGTATTTAGTCAGCCACCAATTGTGCAAGTTCTCCCACTTAAAAAGATGAGAGAGGCCTGTAATTGGCATCATAGGTAGACCTCAACTATGAGAGACAAAATGAGAAAAAAAAAAATCCAGACAATCACATTGGCTGATTTGGAAAGAATTTATTTGCAAATTATGGTGGAAAATAAGTATTTGGTCACCTACAAACAAGGAAGATTTATGGCTCTCACAGACCTGTACCTTCTTCTTTAAGAGGCTCCTCTGTCCTGCACTCATTACCTGTATCAATGGCACCTGTTTGAACTTGTTATCAGTATAAAAGACACCTGTCCACAACCTCAAACAGTCACACTCCAAACTCCACTGTGGTGAAGACCAAAGAGCTGTCGAAGGACACCAGAAACAAAATTGTAGACCTGCACCAGGCTGGGAAGACTGAATCTGAAATAGGCAAGCAGCTTGGTGTGAACAAATCAACTGTGGGAGCAATAATTAGAAAATGGAAGACATACAAGACCACTGATAATCTCCCTCGATCTGGGGCTCCAAGCAAGATCTCACCCCGTGAGGTCAAAAATGATCACAAGATTGTGAGCAAAAATCCCAGGACCACACGGGGGGACCTAGTGAATGACCTGCAGAGAGCTGGGACCAACGTAACAAAGGCTACCATCAGTAACACACTATGCTGCCAGGGACTCAGATCCTGCAGTGCCAGACGTGTCCCCCTGCTTAAGCCAGTACATGTCCGAGCCCGTCTGAAGTTTGCTAGAGAGCATTTGGATGATCCAGAAGAGGATTGGGAGAATGTCATATGGTCAGATGAAACCAAAATAGAACTGTTTGGTAGAAACACAACTCGTTGTGTTTGGAGGAGAGAGAATGCTGAGTTGCATCCAAAGAACACCATACCTACTGTGAAGCATGGGGGTGGCAACATTATGCTTTGGGGCTGTTTCTCCGCAAAGGGACCAGGACGACTGATCCATGTACAGGACAGAATGAATGGGGCCATGTATCATGAGATTTTGAGTGCAAACCTCCTTCCATCAGCAAGGGCATTGAAGATGAAACATGGCTGGGTCTTCCAACATGATAATGATCCCAAACATACCGCGTGGGCAACGAAGGAGTGGCTTCGTAAGAAGCATTTCAAGGTCCTGAAGTGGCCTAGCCAGTCTCCAGATCTCAACCCCATAGAAAACCTTTGGAGGGAGTTGAAAGTCCGTGTTGCCCAGAGACAGCCCCAAAACATCACTGCTCTAGAGGAGATCTGCATGGAGGAATGGGCCAACATACCAGCAACAGTGTGTGCCAAACTTGTGAAGACTTACAGGAAACGTTTGACCTCTGTCATTGCCAACAAAGGATATATAACAAAGTATTGAGATGAACTTTTGATATTGACCAAATACTTATTTTCCACCATAATTTGCAAATAAATTCTTTCCAAATCAGCCAATGTGATTGTCTGGATTTTTTTTTCTCATTTTGTCTCTCATAGTTGAAGTCTACCTATGA